GAGTGACTGCCTCACCTGGGATGAGTGCAATGATAATACCAACATAGGCCAGTAAAGCGACATCCTCCACAACTAGACTGAAGAACAAAAGGACAGCAAGTTGTCTGTTCCCCTTCCCCGATTCCCCAAAGCTGTTCGCTCCCCTAATTCCCCAACAAAATCTTAAAAAAAAGACCACAAAAAGTCACCTAAAATGAATAATATAATAGTGTAGTTTCAGAGTATAAAAGCAATACACAAAAATCAAATGGATGTCTCCATAAGTGCAGAAAAATTGCGAAAATGTAATTATGAAAAATCATATGTTAATATTAAAAATATAAAATATAAAACTTTTAGATTCATAAAATGTATACATTTAAATTACTGCTGGGAAAACAGAAGCATAAGCAAAAATTAAACAGATATGTTTAACCAGTGGCAGGATGGCTCAGCTGAAAAAAATATATATGTTTATGGATTGAAAACTCAATGTGTTTAAGATGTCAATTCTTAATTTATGTATCATTACATAAGCCATTTCTTTATTGTACAGCAGACATTTTATAGAAATTGATAAGCTTTCCCTGAAATTTCTATGTCAATGAAAAGACCAGAATAATTTAAAAAATTTGAATAGGGGCCGGCCAAGTGGCGCGATGGTTAAGAGCTGGCTTGGGACGCCAGAGGGCCCTGGTTTGGACCCCTCATATGAGGGCCAGTGACACTGCCCTCTACAAAAAAAAAAAAAAATTTGAATAGGAAGAACATAATTGGAGGAAATATATCAAACTTCAAGACTTACTATAAAGCTATAATTGTCAAGAAGATGTGACAGGGATAAGGAGAAATGGATAAAATGACCAATAGGGGGCCAGAAATAAACCATCACTTCCATAGTTTATTGATTCTTATTTGAAAATCTTTCTCACCCACAGCACTGGAACAATGAGATGTTTATACACAAAAGAAGGACACCAATCCCTATTTTACACCACACTGAATGATTAATGTAGGATGGATCATATACCTAAATATTAATATTAAAACTATAAAGCTTCTAGAAAAAAATGTAGACAAACTTGTGTACTTCACAGCCTGTAAATATTACTTGTGGCCTTTAAGAAGATCTAAAGATGAGTGGAGCTGTAGACAGTAGATTTGTTTTTGTATTTCTATGAAACTACTTCCTGTATATTTGAGGCCTGAGGAAACTGGTAAAAATATTGAGGTGAGTGAATCAAGATGCCGTACAGTCGGATAAGAATGAACCCCGTGCGGGC